TGTGTGTGTGTGTGTGTGTGTGTGTGTGTGTGTGTGTGTGTGTGTGTGTGTAATCTTTGGATGTTTGAAGCTGTGTAAAAAGGAGCAGACAAACAGATAAACAATCAAGTAAACGGAAAAGGCTGTGTTTTGATGAGATGCACGTGTTGACATTTTCGGCATCTCAGTGCATGAATGGCCCTGCAGGTTTTGTTCAGCTGCTCAAGCGAAGAGAGTCACTCCAGGGTTACATAAGCAGTTACCTTTGCGGACTTCCCACAGGTTATTTTGTGATAACCAGAACAGTCACTGGCGAGCAGGCTCTTCTGCAGATTCGTCACCCGGTAAGCGGAGCGGTTACCAGAAAGTCGTCACGGCTGCAGAGTTACCAGGAGGCTATTCTGCAGGTGCCAGGTGGTAGTTAATCGGAGCACAGTGGTTACTGGCAAGTGATTACTGTGGTTACTGTGGTCAAGGGGTTACTGTGGTTAAGGGGTTACCCCTTACGGTGGTTACAGGGTTACCGTGGTTAGGAGGTTACTGTGGTTAAGGGGTTACGGTGGTTACAGGGTTACCGTGGTTAGGAGGTTACCGTGGTTACAGGGTTACCGTGGTTACAGAGTTACTGTGGTCACAGAGTTACTGTAGTTACGGGGTTACTGTGGTTACTTTTGGCAGGTTACCTGGCAACAACAGTGGTTAGCAGGGAGAGCGATTACGTCTCTAGATGTACCTGGACTACTTAGCTTATGTGGTACTTGAACCGGTCGTCAGGGTGCAGTTAATGTCCTCAGGTTTGTTACCAGGTGTGGAATCATTTGCAATGTTACGGTATATGCCCCTCTGTTATTCTCGGTGATGTTAATGAGTAACTAAGGTTAATATTAATGCATAGCTCAGGTTAGCAAATTTCAACGTGGGGCTTACCCGGCTTACCAACATTTGCGGAACTAACCCTGGTTCGCTGATGAGTGCGCTCGAGGAGGTCACTTTGGCAAAAAGACCCGGTCAGAATCAACCTTTTTTTCCGTAATCAAGTGTGGAGGCCCCAACTGGAACCCCAGCTCCAGCATTGAACATACCCAAGAACCGCCAGGTGAAATCAACAACTCCGACATTGAGCGTGGCACTCCCCGCTAGGTGTAGAAACTTCAACCGGAGCAAATGTCGGGAAGCTGAAACCGTAGGCACGAACTGGTCGGCGCTCGGTTGGTCGGTCGGTCGGTCGGTCGGTCGGTCGGTCGGTCGGTACCCTCTGCACATTGAGAAAGAAGGACTTGTCGACGACTGGAATCAGTCCCAGCATTGAGGGTGGATTCCCAACTGGAAGCAACCGGGGCGTCGAGGGTGCAATTCCGGTCGACAACCTGTCCCGGTAGTGAGGGCGAAGCAACTAGTTGGAACCGGGGGTTGTCATTTTGCGCTTGGACCCCTCAACCATGGTTACTGTGAATGCTGGAGCTGCACACCTATGGTTAGACTTCATCTATGGAACGCTGATGCATCGACTGGGGCTATCACCCCCATTCTTCCATGGTGGGTGGGGTGGAAAAGCCCTCGAGTCGATGGAGCAGGTGACGCGTCAGCTGATCAAGCAGGGCCTGAAGGAGGTCGCTGATCAGACCTGGCCGCCGCCTGCAATCCGGCCAGTTTGGAAGACCATCTTTGCCGATGGCCACTTCCGTTGCCAGGAAGGGGTGTTCGTCACCCCTTGTGACGAGACCATCCGTGATGCTCTTCCCCCTGAGAGTCGAACTGCTCGAGTGCACCTGCTCACGCCGGTCGGTGTCCCTAGGAGCGAACTGTCGTGCGTTTTGCACCTTGCGGGAACTGGCGACCACGGATTTGCTCGGCGGCAGCGTCTTAGCCGTCCGCTTCTGCAGTTTGGCATTGCCTCGATGATCCTTGAGAGCCCCTTCTACGGCAACAGGCGCCCCCTGCAGCAGCCTGGCGCGAAGCTTAAATGCGTAAGCGATCTGTTGTTGCTCGGAAGGGCAACCATAGAGGAGGCTAGGGCCCTCTTGTATTGGCTTGAGACTGTGGGGGGATTTAATAGGCTGGGCGTTTGCGGCCTCAGCATGGGAGGGGTGCACGCTGCCATGGTTGGATCGCTTCATCCCAACCCGATCGCGGTAACCCCTCTCCTGGCCCCTCATTCTGCTTCTGTTGCATTTTGTGAAGGGGTGTTGCGATATGGTACGGCGTGGGAAACCTTGATGAAAGACGGCACTGGCAGAGACAAACTCAACAACGAGTCCTCGGCAGCATCAGCACCCGCACTCTCGCAGGAAGAAGTTCTGCGCCGAATGCGGGAAGTTCTTTCGCTCACAGACGTCACTCGTTTCCCGATTCCGAAGAAGCCGAGCGCTGTCATCTTTGTCTCCGCAACTTACGACGCCTATATCCCAAAGCATTCGGTTCTTGAACTGCAGCAAGCTTGGCCGGGGGCAGAGGTGCGATGGGTACCGGGTGGGCACGTATCTTCGTTCATCCTGCGCAACGACGACTTCAGGAGGGCGATCATGGATTCGTTGACCCGGTTGTAAGTGTAAAAAGAGCAGTGTGTGTAAAAACAGGTTGTCGACGCCTTTTTTTTTTTTTTTTTTTTTTTTCCTTCGGTCCTGTGAGCAGTGACACCTCCCATAGTCGTAAAAATGATAATCGGAATTTGGTTTCACACTCAGGATTTGGTTTCAATAAAAGTCACTTGAAAGTTGAAATTATGGAATCATTTATTCCTGAAGGATGTAGGTGTAAATTGTAGGTATGTCAGGAGTCCAGTTGGGATTGGTTTGAAAATAAATTTAATAAATTTATCGAGAGTGGGGTGCGCTGCACTGTGACATGCCCAGGAGCCTCCAGAAGACCTCCTTTTTCCCTTTTTTTAATCCCCGCTTTTTTCAGCACCCAGAAGATCTATTTGGTGTATCTTTTTTTTTTTTTTTTTTTTTTTTTTTTATCTTTCTTTCTTGGAATACCAGCAGGTTCTGTGCCGATAACCCCTCAGGAGCAGTGGCAGCAGAACAGCAGGCTTTCTATTGTTCGCGCGACAATCATCTGGTGCGAGGGGATTGGGATCCCAATCCATAACAGGGGGATTGGGATCCCAATCCATAACAGCGGCTCGGAAAGGTACTGTCTTCAGGCAAATAGAACGAACATTCATTATCGCTGTATCTAGACTGAAATCGGCCCAGGTACGGCTACAACTTGACTGTATGTCCTATTTGGGGGAAGGCAGACGTAGGCAGTGGTCTACTCTGACTTGTCGAGAGTCTGACCTATCCAATTTTTTATTTATTTTTTTTGCTCACCAGCCATTTAACTTATGGAAAAAAAAAAAAAAAAAAAAAAAAAAAAAAACACTTGTTAAGTTATTATTGCCAAGTTATTGGAGGTGGGTGGACCACTTGTTTTTTTCTCGGAAACCAAATTGACATACCGGGGGCCAAGTCCCACTACAGTAGCAGCGTTGAGCTACCTCAACGCCTGAATCTGGACGTGTTTGTGGAGACGTGCAGTTCAGGAAACTCAACACCATTTCTGCACATCTCCGCAAAATCGTCCASATTCAGGCGTTGAGGTAGCTCAACGCTGCTAGTGGGACTTCACCCCGGCGCCTCTTCCAAATGGTACTAGTAGATAATGTTAGTGGGTACCTGACAATGTGTGAAACCAAAATTTATTTAGAAATTGGAGGGTAGTGAAGCTGTCTCTTATACACATCTAGATGTGTATAAGAGACAGCATTAACACTCCCAGCGCACCCCCTGTACTACTATCCTACCTCAGTGTGACCAGCACTGAGGACCACATCACCCTAGTACCAGTATCGAGGGCAAATTGGCAAATTGGACCGGACGGCAGTGACAAGCACCAAGGCTGGGCCAACCCCCCTGATAGGTAGACTCCCTATGGAAGCCGAAGTGGATGAATCTTGTTGTGCGGGCGGATGCCAGGCTCATGCAATCTTCTACAGGCCCAGTTCAGGGAGTCTACCTATCAGGAGAGCCTAAGCAAGGCCAGCCGACACCCACGGACACATCCTACTGTCCTTTCCCTAACTTATCCAAGGCTAGGCTGAATTTCTATTTAAAAAAAAAAAAAAAAAAAAAAAAAAAAAACAGACTAGCAAGAGGGACTTATATACCTACCCTACCCTAGAGTTAAGCCATGCATGAGTAGACCCCGTCATGTACCTGATAGACCCCCCCCATCCCAGTATCATAGTTGTGTGTATATGTGTGCCCATAGGTTACCCCCCCCATCCCAGTATCATAGTTGTGTGTATATGTGTGCCCATAGGTTATGTATGTTTGTATGAGCCCGTAGGCTATATGTATTATATTCACAAAAGCCATGTTTGTGTCTGCCCGAAGGCCGTAACTGTATAGCAAGATGCATGTGCCTGAAGGCCAGATAAGTGCAGTGCTTTTTTTTTTTTTTTTTTTTTTTTTTAATAATAAACTCCCTTCCTGTGCTAGTGGTGCTGGTAAGAGCAGACACCACTAGCACCTGAGGAGAGGCTCCATCTAGTGGTGGGGAGCATCACCTGCTGGGAAACGGGTCCAGTGTCCCTGCTATGTAGAGGGAACTATGTGTTCGTTGAAGAGATGACAGGGCAAGTTGGACAAGAACCCCCCCTCGAAGTCCCAAGCCAGACTTGAACCCATGATCTATGACATGTGACCTGAAGACTCTATCGTGTGAGCAACAATCGCAATCGGCACCTGCATGTGATATCCCAGACTGGGGAGATGAACAGAACAACCACGAGGGACAGCGACAAGCAACCCACGCAGCAAGCATCAAGACCCGACTTTCAACACCGCGGCGTTGACGACCCTTGGGTGGTGCGCAGGCGGCAGTGTCCGTAATACCTTACCATGCGTCAACCCAAGCCAAGGGGGCGTGTGTCCAGTCGTGCATCGTTCTAACGCCCTGCCGGTGTCTCCATGCGCAAGGCTTTGATTGAGTTTTGAACCCACAACCTCGTATACCACAATGCGCATTTCCAACCGGTGCTCTTACCGCTGAGCCACATCAACTGAACTGCATGAATGCATCACCATTTTGTTGGAAATGGGGAAAAAACAAACCGTAGGAACAGAGCCTTAGTTAAAAAAACAAAAACAGAAAAAGAGAAAAAAAAAGAAAAACAGATTTTCAAAGAAAGAAAAAGGAATAGCCTTAGTTTAACCATCAGTACCTTTCCCCACTCGAAAAACAAAAAAAATGCGATGGCACACGGGCACATCTTTTGCGGTTCCGGGCACTGGACCGACATGGCTGGCGACGCGCCGACGCCAACCAAAATGAGGCCCTTGCCGGTTCATGTTGTTTGGGCGCGCAGGGCGATTAAGGTCAACATCAACAGCGGGGGAAGGTACGGGTGGTTTAAACCATTGTTCCATTTCCCAGCCAAAGAATAAAATTGCGGCCGCATACGGCTTGCACGGAGACGCAACTTTTGGGCCTCAACCTCCGGGGCAAAATGGCTGGTGCCGGGCACCAGCCAAAAAGAGGGCTCTTGGACGTTTCTTTTTTTTTTTGGCGCGTAGGGCGTCGTAGCCATCCCTGGAGAAAAGTTCCCTGGAAGTACTGATGGTTTAATCATCCATGTACAACTCTGTCTCCGATGCAGGCAAGCGAATTATGGGGAGATCGGCACCCTAGATGATGCGATTGAAGTACCATAGCCGACGACTGTTAAGCACAAGATCAGGGTTTATTTTGACACTCAGCCTCGTAAGAGAGGTGTCTACCGTCTATAAAAAAGAAAAAAAAAGAAAAAAAAAAAAAAAGAAAGAGGTGTCTACGGTCTGGGGCCAACTGAACTGGAGGAATTGTAGCAGAACCAGATTGAGCACTTGCCTACGAAGGGATGGTCAGACCACCAAGTCAGTCCGAATGCGGAGCCTCCGTTCTTTTTGTCCCGAACAAGTCTGGTCTGTACATTGACAATCGAGGCGAGGCACGAGTACCTTTGCCGAGTGGGCCTCCGATCTTTTAGGCGGCTGAAATGAAACAACAGCCGCCGAGATGAGATTTATCAATTGCAGCCGTTGTCCGGCCCAGCCTCCCAACTCCTCGCGAACAGCCCGTTTCCCTAATTTCCCAATACCGGCGGAGGACCGGCGGTACTAGTGCTTCAACGAAATCACTTGAAGTACCACTTGTCCCTTACTACACAGCGATAACCTCCTCTATACAATTCTTCGTTGTGAAAGTGATCTCAAGTTGGATACCACCAGATTGAAGTCGATACTAGAAAAAAAGTCAATACAAGGGTAACAAGACCGCCGCATTCAAAACACAAAGCGGGCTGGAGCGCAGTTCATTGTGAACTGCTCTTCGGTGTCGCCCAAGCACCGGCCGCATTTCAGAACCCCATGGAGTCATGGACCACGAGTTTGTTTCACACGCCCCTCTGTGTAGGCCGAAGGCCACAGCTCTTGCCCGGGTTCACTATAATAATACGACACTACATACAAACAAAGGTATCTATCGTACGTATACTCTTCCAGCCACAGCGCAACAAGTTTGTTGTTGTCTATTCATGAGATGAGCTTGACGCGGCCTGTACTACCGTCTTCTTCACCAAAATAGAACGCCCGGTCATTATGGCTGCATCTAGACTGAAAGTTGCCCCAAATACGGCTATAATGACTGGGCATTCTATTCGGGTGAAGATGGTAGGAAAGGTTGAGTAGTGGGTTCTAGCATTTTGAGAGAGAGTGCAGTCCGACGCGAACCATCGACGAGTTCAATTTGAATCAAATAAATCCGAGTAACCGGAATATTTTTGGGAACCAATTGGATTTGAAGCGGTTACGTAAAAAACTTGATCGGTTTTAGGCCTGGGACTGTACGATACTACAATGTAAACTTGTAAAGTAGCTCGCGGTATGTTTTTTTTTTTTTTTTTTTTTTTTTTTAAGCTGGGTTTCGAAGGCTAGACCACATAATTTGACAGAAAGTGTTTGGTATGAGGTCGCTGTTGTTCCCCTTTCGTCCACGACGGACATTGACGTGAGCAGTGTGGGTTTGACGGTGGTAGTAGTCGTTCTGACTACAGGAGAGTTGGAGCTGTCGCGGCTTTGCCTTCTTGGATATGCTGCGCCGTTGGGTCACGTCTTTGTCATTTTAATCGCGTCTCCTTTTTTTTTTTAACATGTTTTTTCTTTCGTAATGACGAGGATGATTACTGCTTTTATCTCGTTGCATCTTTCCTTTTTTTTTTTTTTTTAAACAAATTCTCTTTTTTTGCTTCATGTCGACTGTCTGCTGTCAACGGCTGATTGCGGTGCACGCTGCTGCTTACCATGCTTGCTTCACCTCTACAACATACCAAATTTATTATTTATTTATTTTATTTATTTTAAGTTTTGAACTACACCAGTACTGCTAGCACTGAAGGCAAAGAACTGCATACCGAACTTTTTTTTTTCTTCTTTTTTTTTTTTCTAACAGAAGACACCCGAGGTAGTGCCAGGGTGCCGATAAGAGCAGGCACCGCAAGCATTCCCGGGGGCGCGGCGGGGGGCTCCATCTCTTGGTGGGGCAGCGCCACCTGCTGGAAATCGGGTCCAGCGCCCCCGCACATTATGCTTGATTGTTTGAGCAGACATTTAACTGATCTGACAGCATACCGACGTTCAGTAAGTATACGGGGGAAGACGAATAACACTCTTGATTGATCTTACTGAAAGTCG